CTCCTGGGCCCCCGGCTCACCCGCCGCCCCCCGCCCATGTGCCTGGACACAGCGCATGACGAACCCTGAACCCACATGAGAAAGCTAAATCACCAGCAGGCCCAGGAGCCGGGACCTGGTGCCACAAAGGCAGCTGTGAAAAACTTGTTTCAACTCAGTAACATAGATGCTTGCCAGCAAATTCCAGCCTGAGATGGCTTGGAGGGCTGCAGGTTGGGCCACAGAGCTCACACTGCCAGCTAGTGTGCATCATGCAATAGCAGCTCGACACAAAGGGCTGGGGAGGAGGAGGAAGAGGAGGAGAGGCGCCGGCTTGCACCGAGGCAAGGCCGGGATTCCAGCACCGGGACCGATGACACCAGGCACAGAAGGTGAGGACTGGGCCATGACAGGGCCCGACCCAGTGCCAGGGGTACTGTGAAGAAAATGCCTTTGTAAATCAAACTACTGGGCAAGCGATCTGAGGCAGGCGAAGGGGAGGTGGGAGAGCCAGGGAAGAGACCGGTTTCATTACGAAGGTGCTGGTGACAATAACCTTTTGTCCTCTACACATTCTGGGCCTGCCAAGCTGCTCCACGGTCTCTAAGAAAGCATGAGGGTGGGAGAGAAAAGCTCCCCATCAGGAGGCAACACACTCATCCTTGATGATGAGACAAGGCCCCCCCAGAGCTGACATCCTCTCCCACACCTTCCTCTCTGCTGCAGACGCACCACGGAGAGCTGCCATGATGCTCCTTGAATGAGAGAAGGCAATTGCCCTCAGCACAGAAGACTTGGTTCTTGGAGGATCTTCCCCACCAAGAACACCCCCAAATCACACACAGACTCTTAGGGACAAGCGTGAAGCCTCATGGTTTAATTTGGCTGGCAATATAGGAGGTCGGACCAGGAACTAGAAAAGTTAGTGCCTCAGCAGCTCCTGAAATGCTTCATTCATCCCATCCTCTTGTTTAAAGGACTGTCAGGGAGACACTAATCCTGGTGGATAGGGGTCCCCCTGCTTAACTTTATGTCACAGTTCAAAACTGAGTAATTAGGTCTACTCTTACCCTGAAGAAAAATGGACTGTTGGCACTGTATCAGAAAGAGACCTGGGATCTAGTCCTTGTTCTGACACTTGCATTGGTAGAAGCTGAGCAAACCACCTAATCCCTCGGAGTCTCCATCTGCTCAACTGCAGAATGGGAACGAGGAGGAGGAGTCCTTCAGCATCGGGCAGTTCGGCACAGTAAACAGTGTGTACCCTCAAGTAACGCTGTCTGGGTTCACACCCCAGCTTCTCCCACCTTACTAGTTATGTAACCCTGAAACGTAGCCTCTCTGCCTCAGTTTCCTCATCTGTGAAACATATCTAGTTCATAAGACTGTTATCTATGAGGAATCACCTAAAGCTCTCATTGCAGGGTCTGGCCCTTCGTTCTTCCCATAACTGTCAGGTAGGGTCACTGCTGTCATGATTCGTGGTGGGCATAAACATTTCCACCACAAGTAGGTATTTACTACAAGGATTAAAGGGCTTTGAATTACGTGAACCCTTGATTTGTAGAAGGGTTTCGGAAAAACAAGTCACAGGCCGAGGCTAATTCTGAAGCCCAAAAACATAAAGGGACATGACAGGGACCTGTGTCCTCAAGTGTGACACATACCAAATACTCACCAGACCACCTTCAACCAATTCGAACCACTTGGTAGTAATTTAAGGCGTTTGTGGGAAAAGAGCCATAGACCTTCATCTCCCTTTCTATAGCATTAATTTGCCAGCTCTTCTCTTTCTATAGACAACTCAGAAAGGAAGCAAAATGTGATCCCATTTTTTTTTAAGTCTAAAAGATAACTGCCAGATCTGAGGTTTCTCATGAGAGGTTAAAACGATTACAAAAGGAATTCATTAAGGTTGAGGGAGGGAGTTTACAAGGGCAGTGGTCTAACCTGGTTCTAAGCTTCCCCACGTATTTCAACCAAGATATAAAGAGCTCTCCATTTTCTTAAGTGTCAATTTCAAGTCAAAAGAACAGGTAGGAAATACACAAAGATAGACAGAAATCTCTGCTCAGAGCCAAAGCTGGAGCCAATAGCCGAGTGGAGAACCATGCTTAAACAAATCAGCAACTCATGTCTGACTGAAGCCATTCTCAGGCTTGGCTCCTCAATCACTCGGTACCTTCTGTGGAGTTCCATACATTAAACACAGCTTATTTATGGACTGCTTATTTTCTTAGGATCATGCTAACACAGCGTGTGTGTGTGTGCGTGTGTGTGTGTGTGTGTAAGAGAGAGAGCAGGAGACTGCGTGTGTATGTATAAAGTTGGATGTAATCTAGTCCCTGAATTTATCTACATTTTAAAAATTATAAAATGGGGGTAATCTTTAGCCATTTGTTTACCAAGTGTGTTCTGACTGCATAAATCTAATTGGCCTTCTGGCATAGAAAGAACACACAGACGGCCTTGCCTCCAGCTTAACTTATCTCAGATGCAAGCAAGCTCCTTATCCCCACCTTCCCATCCGCCATCCACAACTGCCCGCCATCTCAACTGCAGTCATTCACACCCTTTCCTTCCTTTCCTCCAATAAATAATCCCTGGCCATTCACTAGGTGTCAGGCACCAGGGGAGGGACTGCCCCCCTCCTGGGGGATTACAGGCTAGCTGAAGAGACCTATTTCAACAGGTAATTGGAGTAATTAATGACTTACCCCTTAAATTTATCTCTGGACTAAATCATCTAGGTTCTTGTTCATTTCCTTCCTTCTCCGTTTTCTGCTTCCATCCCTCTATTTGGCTCCAGAGACTTCATATCTATCTATCTATCTATTTATAGACAGATAGATAGATAGATATATTTTTCTTTCTTTCTTTCCTTCCTTTCTTTCTTTCTCTCTCTCTCTCTCTTTCTTTCTTAAGATTTATCTATTTAGGGGCGCCTGGGTTGCTGAGTCGGTTAAGCCTCTGCCTTGGGCTCAGGTCATGATCTCCTGAGAGAGCGAGCATGCATGAGCGGGGGGGAGGGGCAGAGGGAGAGAAGCAGAATCCTTGCTGAGCACGGAGCCCCATGTGGGGCTCAATCCCAGGACCCTGAGGTCATGACCTGAGCTGAAATCAAGAGTCAGATGCTTAACCCACTGAGCCACCCAGGTGCCCCTTCACATACATATTTCTATGCTGGTTTTCTTCTGGCCACCTAAATCTGTTTTCTCTCATCATTCTCCTTCAAACTCCTTAGGACTGCCTTCCTAGAACATTGCTTTCATCATTCATTCTCCTCAGAACACACCAGCACAACCCACAGCCTCCCACAGTAAATCTATTTCTCTGCCTGCCTTCCCTTATCCTCAATTATGTTCCCTTGATACCACAACTCAGTGTGATTTCCCATAGATGCTCTCTTTCTTTTTGGCCATCTTTCTCACTCTCAGATCCACTCTATTTGTTTATGTGTTTGCAATCATGGGGATTCTTGACCTAGGACACCTTTCCTTCCATCGTTCTAAACTCTGCAAAACCTAGACTAAACCCCATCATGCTTTTCCAACTAGAGTAGCCCTCACCTTAAATTTCTGTGACAAGTGCTGATTTCACTGATTCAATAAAAATGAACTTACAAAGAAAACCCAGTCAGGTAAGGGTAATGATTCTGGGGCCCCAAAACTCCAGAACCTCAGAGCTGCAAATAGGGTGAGAGCCCTTTCTGCCAAATCCACTCATGTTTTAGAACAGGGCTAAGTATTTTAGGCTTTGTGGATCATACATTCTCTGTTCCAACTACTCTACCACCTTGTTGTAGAGTGAGGGTAGCCAAAGATCAAATGTATACAAATGAATGTGGTGGTACTAAAAACAATTACTTACAGAAAGGGGCCGTGGGTGGAATTTAGCTTTGGGGCCATAGTTTGCTGACTCTGCACTAGAAGAAGAGTGGATAGTGGTGAAAATCTTCTCTTTTAGATGGTAAAGGACAACTGGAAGTGTCTCAGATCAGCCCCTTATCTTCCCTAGGTAGCTCAACTGTTCCCTAGGAGTATATTCCCAGCCTAGAAGTCACTACCACGAGAATTTGGGCTGTGACCATCTGTTAGAGCTATTTTGGTCAATGAAGAAGAGATAATGAAACTACTTCTTTGCCTAAGCTGGAGATATGTCAAGGAAAGAGTCCACTGTCTCATGCTCCTACTTTCCTCCAGACTGGAAGGACGCTCAGGGCTCAGTATCTCGGGGCTAACAGCAAACCTTCACCCATACTTCCACGTGCCAGGCCCTGCACGCTCTCATTTAGTCCTTACATCAGTGCTATGATGTAGATGTACTTTACCTCGTATCTATTTTCATATGTAAGAAACCAGAGGAGGTCTTAGTCTGTGTTAGCCACTGATCCACTACAGAAATGAACATGGTGCTTACAAAGGTGTGCCGTGGGAGTAAGACAACCCCCGGCCAAGATTCTTATCTTGAAATGAATGTGAAAAAATAATGAAGATGGCTCATTACCTCTAGTCCTTACAACAACCCCTCAAAGAGCATATATTTTCCACTTTATTCTTGGAAAATTAGGCTCATAGGGGTTCAGCAGTTTATCCAACTTTGTCTATTTAGAAAGATCAGAGTTAAGATTCACATCCACACCCATGTGGCTCAATAAACTGTTAGCCCATTTCTTTAAGCTGCTGACCTGTTAGCCCATTTCTTTGAGCTGCTGACCAACTTAAGTTTTTAAAAGCCTCAAAAATGCTTGCTCATCTGAAGTGAGGATTTATGTCAGCTTTGTCGGGTCTCATGTCCCCAGGGAGGGCCTCAGAGAAGCACCGAGGCCAACCAACACTGTGATCTGAGGACTGGTGCCGAGGAACAAACCGCAGAAGCGGGCACGGCCCCTATTCCTTCACCACCAACCAAGTCTCTGGCTGTACTACCTGATCCAAATGGCGTAAATGGCTTTTTACGGTGGTGACGCTTCCCTCACACATATTGTGGTGGTGCTGAGGCAGAGGGAGGCATGTTCTTACCAGCCTGTCATATTAAAGTCCCTGTAGAGCATCTTCTTTCCAAGTTCCTTTCTCTGTACTCTCCTTGGAAACTCCAAATGTGTGAACTCATTTCCCAGCAAGTGAGGCTGCATGAATGCCTAATAGCAAAAGAAAGGGAAAAAAAACCACACACACACATATTTAGAAGAAAAAATAAGACTCAATAATGTTTTGCAAATCAAGACAGTCCGTATTCCAAAAACAAGAAAATTGTTCTCCTATTTTAAGGGAAATAAATAGATTTGCAAATCTACAAAGAGAGTTATCAGCAAATAAAAATCACCAACTGAATTTATAAAGGGATGTAACTATTTCATTTCATGTGATAAATTAATTGTAATCAGAGACACGGATCACTAAAGTCAAAAGGAAAAGAAATTGAGATTCTCCAAAAGTTCACTTTTTAATTCAAATGCATGACTGTTTCATTCTCCCGAGCGGCATGTTGATGCAGCAAGAACACTCACGCTGACTCTCCTCTTTGGCTCTCTCTGTTCTCCTACTCACACTCTTGGAGATCACGGCCTGGCCTCTGAAACCTGCATGTGAATCTCCACATGGACACAATGGCCCCGGAGAGCAGGTTGGGGCTGGATACACCAGACGGGAACTTTCTGTTGGACTCCTTCCATTTTGCTCTGCAGTAATTTGATCATGTAATTGGAAGACTATTCCAGAGCAGATGGCTTCTTCCCCTCCCCCAAATCTCTGTTCACACTACAAAAGTCTTGAGCAAACAGCCACTTAGGGAATTGCTTTGAAACAACAAACAGTCTCATTGTCACGTTCGAAATTCAAATCCGGCTATCCAAGAGATGAAATGCTCAAGTATTAACTTCCCTGCTCGAAGGCCACACACCATAAGCAAACTTGCATTGAAGCCTCCCCACACCATGCTGTATGCCTGCTTATTAGCAGTGTGGTGGAATGGATCCTTTCTCTTCCTCCCTCCCTCCTTCCCTCCTCTCACTCTCTCTCTGGCAGGGAAGAGTGGGCAGAGCAAATCATGACCTGGCACTGTAGGAAAGCAAGGGATCCCTGCCACAGGACAGATGGCCATGTCCTCAGTCTACTGGAAATAGGCATCTCCCACAGCCTCTTTCCCAGGACCTGACACAGGCAGATCTCCAGCTGATTCTCATGGCGGTTTGGAGGTTCAGTTGGACATTGGTCATCCTAAGCTAAGCCTATCAGGAATCAAAGGAAGCAAGCTGAACTGTCACCAGGTTGGCTAGATTGGGCCAGGTAGCGGAGTTCTGAGCAGGCTTGGAGACATGGCAGGATAGTACTGAAAAGTGGAAGCGTCTTTACTGTCTGCTGTAGCCCCCAAAGTTTCCAGGTCTGGCAGGAATTCTAGATCATCTTTGAGGGGCTCTTAAACCTCTGCTGGGGATAAGGGTTGGGCTGCTGATGAATATCAAGAACACTTAAACACTGAGTTTGACAGAGAGGTTCCCTAGGAAGGAAGGAAGGAAGGAAGGAAGGAAGGAAGGAAGGAAGGAAGGAAAGGGAAGGAAAGAAGGAAGGGAAGGAACGAAGGAAGGGAAGGAAAGGGAGGGACGGAGGGAGGGAGGGAAGCTAATACTTCATAGGGCAGGTCAGTAGTGTGGGCTTTGGGTGAGACAGACTTGGGTTTGAATCCAAGTTCTGCATTTATAAGCTGTGTGATTTTAGTTGGTGATTAAGCTTCTGGAGCCTCAGTTTCTTAATCTCTCCTAGATTGTGTATTTATCTCACAGGTTTAATAATTAAATGAATACACTTATCATAGGTATCTCTGCTCATAAAAAAAATTACTGTATCCATCTAATGATTACTGAGCCCTATTACACCCTAACTACGACATGTGCTTTGTGAGCTCTCATGTCACACTGCCAACAACCTTACAAGGGGGAACTGGCTACAGAATCTGCAGGGCCCAGTGCAGCATGGAAATATGGAGCCTCTATTCAAGATTAAGGATTTCTAGACAGCAAGAGCAGAGCACTGAACCATGTACAGTGCCCTGTGCAGCTGCAGGAGTTTCACCCAGGAGGCCAGCTGTCCGGACTGAAGGAGCAGAGGCATAAATCGTCAATGAACAGCAGCATCTACTATGCACCCCACATCATCCTCTAGGACCGTGGGACCCCATCAGCATGACATTTTTCTCCCTACCCCAGCCCCCCAAGCTGTTCGAACACTGACTTAGGGGCTACCAGATAACAGGCACTTGATATGCTTGTTACTACATCAACAGTCCTACAAATCACATGTCATAGACTCAAGTTACAAATGAGGAAACGAAGATCCAGAGAACTTGAGACACCTCGCCCAAGGTGATGAGCCAGGACTGGGTGGTTTCAGAGACTGAGCTTAATACTATGTCCATAACCCCCATTCCAACCCTTTAACCTTCACACACATTTGTAAAAAACAGAAAGCAGGCAAAAGGCCTGTGGTCCTGTTGCTCCTGGACCATGCAAAGTCTGAATCGCCAGTAGGTACCCATGAGGATCCAGTTAACAAAAAAATTACAGGTCTGCACACAGCTTGGCCATAAGAATGTTCCTCAAGTAGCTAGAAGAAATCCTTTAATAATACGGTGATTAAATAAATGAGTAAAAATCCATTCAAAAGAATTCTATGGTATCATTTATACTGACACTACAGAGAATATGTAATGACATGGAAAGAGTGGATGTATTTGCAAAAAGCAGGTTATCAAACAATGTATGTCAGTGAGTGTGTGTGTATGAGCTTATGTAAGTGGTGTCAGACATACACAGATCCATATATAAGACATATATGTACATACAAGTGCATGTGTGTATATCAATACATATAAATGCCACACATATATATTATTAACAAACAGGTTAGGATCCAAAGGCCATTTCTAAGTACATTTCTTCACAGACTCAAGTGACCAAGAGGGGTCAGTGTGCAGCATTCCAGGTACTTGGCCCCCTTACCAGGAGGCTGAATGGCCCTTTAATGGTGCTTGAACCGGGTACCCTCACACCCTTTCTGCTGGTACACATTTGCCTGGGGAGTGGTAAGGGAAGATCTGCTGAGGCAGACGTCTGCAAAGCCCCTAGGAACTCCTGAGCAGCTTGCTCTCTGCATGGGCCACCTCACCTCTCCCTGTGAGGATGAGCAGGCTCAGAGAGGACTTAAATCCCGTGTTCCTGTGACATCTGGAGCCCCTTCACATGCAGAGGCTTTCAGGGTTTCAAACTGCTTGCTGTCTCCCATTATAACAACAGGCTACTGTGTTTCACCAATTCTAAGATGCCCTTTAATAGAGGAGCTATTATTTTCTTACCCCTAAGAAAGGGGGAGAAGCTGCCAATTACACTATGTACAGTACTTTTTTGCCATTTCGAATTTTTATTTTATTCTTTTTGAAAGAGCTCCTTTGGACTTAGACAAATTTTTATATATCAATCTGGGGTATATTTAAGAAGAATATATAGGTGAAGTATATCAGCTAAGGTTTTCCAAAAATGTTTTCATGTTTAGAATCCAACTGCTCATCGGTTTTCAACGCTGAGTCACTAATGTTCGTGATTTTCCACACACTAGCCCGTGTTTCCTTGGAGTACTGGTGAGGCAGCGTTTCTTAAATAATCCACCAAAGAACTACAAGCCTTGGAACCAGGGGTGCAAAGTTCTTAAGTCAGCTCTGCAATTATCTCCAGTCGGCTTACTTCTAACTCCCACTTCAGGAATGTGGCTCAACAAGTCAGGTTCACACCTCCAAGCCCCTCTGCACAACCAGGCAAATCCAAGGAGGCTTAAGAGGACTTCATTTTTGTCTGCAGGGTTTTCTTCTAAGCTGTTGGACACCCACTCTGCAAGTCGGGGGCTGCTCTTTTGATGTCCATACATGCCCAGGAGAGGACATCCTCGTCATGCCTGACACTTGGCTGACAGCACCCATCGGTTGCAAAATATCCCACCTTCAGATAGGTCAAAAGGTGGAAAAAAAAAAAGTGCCTTAGCTCTGAAGAAATACTGTACGACTCATCTTCCACTGATACTGATGTCATACCCTTAGATTTCTCCACCTTTATGGTTTTCTTCTTCTCTTACTAACTGCCATGGCACATTTCACATAATGCAGGACATATTTTCTGTCACAATTATGCCCACCAGAGAATTCACCTGTATTCCATGTGTACCTAGGACATGTTTGTACTATTTTTAAAAATCACCATCCATATCCTAATTGTAGCCTCCCTTCTTATCAGCCATTTCAATACTCACTATTGTTATTTGTCAGACCGGATGGGAGTTACTGGTGTTAAAGAAAAAACAACTCAAGAACTAAGTACAGTAGAGCAAATAGGTGGTTGATTCATGAAAAATGAGATGCTATAACATAATGGGACACACACTCGTAGGTTTTCAGAGGAAAACATACTTCTGCTCATTTGTGTAGATCTTTTTCGGCGGTACTCATGAAACTTTTAGTATTTCGTCTTAGTTAGGTGGGCTGTTATACTGAAATACCACAGGTGGGGGTTTGAACACTATGTCTCACAGTTCTGGAGGCTGCGAAGTCCAAGATCAAGGTGCCAGTGGATTTGCTGCTTGGCTGGCAGACTACCTTACTGCACCTCACGCAGGCTTTCCTCTGTCTCTCGAGGGAGAGAAATTGAGATCTCTGGGGTCTCTTCTCAGCACATTAATCCTATCTGATGAAAGCCCTACTCTTTTGATCTCATTTAATCTTAATTCCTTCTGTAAAGGTCCTACCTCCAAATTTAGCACTCCAGGGGATAGGGCTTCAACATAAGTTTTAGGGGCAATAGCGGCACACTCGGTCCGTAACGTGGGCTTCTATGTATACGGTTTGTATAAGTACATACACTCAGTCATCTCAATGTAAAATGTTATCTGACGGTTTTCTTTTTAACTTACCTGTATTTATAACTATTTTTACTATTGAACATGGATGACTGTTTGAAAAAAAACCCTAAAAATCACTTTTTATTTTTAATAAGGTTTTTGTTTTAATTCCAGTATCGTTAACTTACAGTGTTATATTAGTTTCAGGTGCACAATATAGTGATTCCACAATTCTACACATTACTCAGTGCTCATCACAAGT